AACGTATTGCATATTCCGTTGATGATGGGGGAAGGTGTGCCATGCAGTGAAATCATGATTCGATGGAAAGCTATCGTGCCAATAACTTCGGTTGCAATTGTAATCACCATACCATATTACAACGATCATCGAAATCAACCGACCATTCGACACGTTTTTGTGTGTCGTGGCAAGGCTTCATTTGTTCATTGGGTGGTGCGGAGACACATTTCATGCACACATTTCTTTTACATTTCATTTATCTCCCTTCGCTGTTGTCATTTTTCGCTTCGCTCTCCTTGTTTCTTTTTTCTCTGTATTTGAAATTCGAAAGAAATACAAAAAGTATAGAGAAAAATTGATTATTTCATAAAATATGTAGCATTTTGTAATCACGATAGACACGACGATACTCGTGATAGAAGCTCAGTGTTGGTGATGCGAGAAAGAATTAAAAAAAATGCGGTTGGTTTGTGGCACATATTTTTTTTTCAATATTCATTCTTTTTCTGGATGGCATGTGTTGGGAACAACCATCGAAGACATACACTGACAGATCGACCAAATACAGTGTGCGCAATGTGAAAATGTAATTAATTGTATGTATGTGTATTATATAGTGTCTACATCTGTGCATAGACTGCCCTTTTTTATTTCTTATTTTATTTCCTTTTTATTCGATATCTGTTTTGCTCTGGACTCTCAACTATCGTCAATTTGTCAATTTTTAGCCTTTTCAAGCCAAATGGCATGTTGTTCATCGCGGCTATACTTCATTTTGTCGGGTCTTTCGTTTCGGTTTATTTTTTTTTTTATCTCGAAAAATTCATTTGCAAACCCGATTTCCACTCAACGATTTGAAATATGACGATTTTTTTATGCGATGAAAACTTATCGCTTCGGTTTTTTTCACATTCAAATTCCTATAAAAAAATAAATACACAAATAAGTGTTGCAAGTGTCTAGCGGAAACTGATTATTAAGAAAAGTATTCGAATTCGAGGTGGAGCATTTCTTCATTCACGTTTTTTTTTTTCAACTAAGAAATGGCCATCATTTAAAAAATGAACTAAAAAAAATATCATTTTCTACGATGAACACCAATAAAATATACAGCACGCTTACGATATAAAACATAAAAAATTAAAGCCACATTACATTTCCCATTATTTGCTCGACGATTTATGCAGCGGTAACAAAAATCTGTCAAAAGTGATAATCAAAAGTTCTGGCATTATTTTAACTAGGGGATCCGGTCAAAGTTTGCATTCTTTTTAAAATTAGAACAGAAGTTGGTGAAAAAGTCACTTCACCTACTCCTATAATGTTGATACAAAAAATGACAATAAATATACATTCAATAAGGATGCCAGATTACCCGTATTTTCCCTAGGCAAAGCCCGGAATAAACATCGTCCAAGGCAAATATATTTGTTTTGGTGAAAAAAATTAATTTTACACTTTGAAATCTCGGGTTTCAGTGAATGGATTCATAGAATATTCGCCTAAGATTATCTAAATCTAAATTAAATTGCACTAAGATATGTACTGTATATACATAACATAACATCGCTTAAAGAAAAAACACTATTAATTGAGCACGATTAAATCTAAAGTAGTAAATTAAAATTGGAGGTAACATAATGAACGGCAATACGACAGTTAAAATGTTAAATAAAAATTGGTTAAACGAGTGGAAAACGAATCCGTGATTCGCAACTTCACCAATAGAAATACACCCCTTGATTAAAACGCTACAAATGAAATACTCTGCCATAGCATTCATAATTGTCACTTGAAAAAAAAAAAAAAAAAAAAAAATAAAACCAAAAGAAAAAAAAGACGAAGTTGAAAAAGCGGGTAAATGTAGTCGCTTTTTTCATATCCGTTATTATGATTTTTTTTTGCCATCATTGAAAAGAGAATGGCAATGGTTCAACGGTTATGTGACGACACAATGATGTCTACCGATTCGATCGAAAACGAACAGCAATAAATACAGAATCATTTATTTTCGCCACACTAAATGAATTTTCAGGTTGATATTGAGTTCGGTCACTCGTATAATTTGGTTTATTTTAATTCTTTTATTCATTTGACACGACTAACATTTTGTATCATTTTATATTTAAAAAAAACCTATCTCACTTTCTAAATTCAAAGCGCATTACAAATTTAATTTTAATGTATTTAACAGTAGCTCCGAATTTTCGAAGGGGACATCGCAATTGTTTTTATTGGGTTTGCATTTCCAGTTTAGTAAATATTTCATTCTCAATTAATTTTACTAAATTCCGATTTGGACTGTTTTTTTGTGTTTGGCATCGCATTTAAATTTTTATTAGAAAAATGTCGTTTGATTTCATTTCAAAAAAAAAAAAAATTGACAATCGAACGCCACATTTGTCATATTCTCTTCCTCTTTCTTTCCTTCTCTCTCTCTATCTCTCTCTTTTGACGCATTCCGGTCGTTATTTATAGAATGAAAAAAATTAGAAAATGTTTTTCCACGTGGAAATTGATGTGTATTATGTATATGCTGTGCTATATGCAACAGCAGACAAGAAAAATGCGGTCAACGTGATATTCGAATGGCATGCTGTGCCAAAGTTATTATGCAAACAATATTTATTAACTTAATTACTTGCGCACCGTGTATTCTGATACTCGCGGACATACATCAATCGTGCTTCAACACAAATAATTTCATTTTCGCACCAATTTTTCTGTTAATTTTTGATATTGCAATCGCATGAGAAAAAAAAGTGAGATGAAATTGTGCAGTACAGTGCCAACACCATAAATTCATATATCAATATTAACATCACTAAATTTGTTTAAATTGCATCAGTGACAATCAAATCATGGCTGCACTGATATCATACTATGCAATTCATACTAAAGCGTAAAGTTATTTATTGTGTAACGAAGTAGATGCATTGCACGTGGTTTTTTCTATTATATTTTTTTTTAAGCGACGAATCACGTATAAGCATAGAATTAATGTTTTATTTTAATTGAAATTCGTTTATCTTATAGAAATTTTGAGAATGAGAGGTAGATTAATGGAAGGCGACGACGAACGAGAAAGATAAAATGAGAGAGAAAAATCAAATCCATTCAATTATTAACAGCAGCGGATATTTAGTAAAAAAAATTCCGCACATCGAATCGGAGAGATTTCGGTGTGAGAGTTGATGGGATGCGGGATGAAATCAAATTTCATTTACATACGTAGAATGTATTAACATTTATGCATATGCTAATATGAATGTGTTTTTTGAACGCATCATATATGGGTTCGGTAGCTGGTTGCAGCCGCAGTGAAAGAAATATGATAGACGAGGACGTTGTTAAATTTGTGATTAGATTAGATTTGTATCCGTTGAGCCGATCGATTATAAATTATTATGAATTTGTTATGCACAAATAAATGCGACATAAATACATCATAGGACATTTCAAATGATGGCATTCAGCGGTGATTTGAAGGAAATGTATAAAATGAATGTGTCCTTTTTTCACGTCTACAAAATTCGAAAATTTTCTAGTGCAAAGCCGAAAAATATATATATTCAATACATTCCGTTATTTGCTAATAATCAGTTAAATAAAATGTGAAAACGACATTCATTAACGGAATGGAATATAGCCGGCAGATAGGCGGCAAAAGCGACAGCTACATCATACGATAGTTACCATCAATATATTTATCCAATTTGTGCGTTTCATCAATTGACACGGTTGAATGGCTGATTTTGACGATTCATACACACACAGAAAGAGAGAGATAACAACAGAAAAAGACTGGCACATAGCAACAGCCATTCACATTTTCGGCCATATATTCGTTCAATCAAAAGTCACTTCGGTGTCATTCATTAATGAGACGATAATTATAATTTTATCACAATTTTCAGTTAATTATTTTATATATTAATCTGTGAGTGATTATAATTAACTTTTGGCTGGAACTTCAATGTTTTGCACGACAATTTGTCGCAATGCATCGCACAACAATAGGTAGTGCGCACCGGCTTTCGACTGTGTAACTGAACAGTAGAACGTGCACAAAGCTGCTATTTTGTTGTTGTTATTTTTGCAAAAGTATTAAAATAACGCGTTCATCTGACATTGGCGTCGAATGGAAAATATAATTCAAGCTTTTTGAATTTGAAATGCAAACATGAATGAAGGACGAATTGAAACCGCTTGTAGATAGCCTAGCTACATTAATATTTGTTGTAATAAGTTTGTTTGTTTTGTTATGCACTTCAATGGAATGGTCCCACAGTAATTTTTGATTAAATCGAAATTTATTTTCGCAGTTGATACTTTCGTTTTTGCTTTTTCGTTTCGTGCACATTTTCAAATCGGAAAATCTGCACTGTCGCATAATTAATTACCGGAAAATGAGATGTAATTGGTTTGAGTGAATACAATATAGAAACAGACGCAGGAGAATTCATGGCGTACGAGCGCCGAACATATTTTCCATAGAATTACACATTTGCTTGTGACAGCGGTTGGCGACTGCCACTAAACTACAACTGTTGATTAAATCGATGAAATAATTATTTATTTTATTCATTAAACCGATTCGAATGAGATTGAATCAAATTAATATATAGATATTTTTCTCAAACAAACAAAAAAAAAGTGCTTCCGTCGAAAATTAAACTGAATGGAAGCATAGGTGTTTATTCAACTGTTGAACTCGGTTCTGAGGGTCCCAAATATACCCGCCCTCTTAAAAAAAAATGAGTGAAGGGGACTATTAAGCAATTTTGAAGGGATTCTTTCATTTTTTGTTATGTTTATTGAACAGAATCAAAATGAAAAATTATTATTCACTAAAAATCAAAATCTATTGCAAATGTCGTGTTAGAATAAAAATAAAATAAGCACTATTACTTATAACTTGAATTGCTGTGATATATGTGAAAAGAATGCCGTGCCGTTGTAAAAAGCGGACAAGAAATAAAAAGACAAGTTGACAAAAAAAAAGTGTTCATTCTCACCCGGGTGTCAGTTATATAATTACTAATGATGTCTTCTCCTTCATCGTCTCCTTCTTCTTTAATTTGTATGGATTCAACGGCGTCGTCATATTCGGTGGTATTTTCAAAAGCATCATGCTCCGTATCGTTTGTTGAACTATATGTTGCATTTTCTATTGAATTGTCCTGTAACTGTGGCTGTGATTGTTGTGGTGCCATTACGAATTTTGTATTTGTGTCATTGGTTAGTTTTATTTGCTTGGTCGGTTGTTGCGCAACATCATCTTCAATCAAAACAAGTGAATCAATTGATGATTGACGTGCATTTGTACGTTTTAATAATTGATTCAATGTGGTTGTCACTTGATTTCCATTTGAAATATTAACATTCGATGGAAATGATTGTGGCTCATCATTATTTGTATCAATTTGTGCTAATCCACGTACATGTAGTGTTTCAGCAATGGCCAACAATGATGATATCTCCTGTTTGCAAACATTTATTTCACCTTTGTACATGAATTCGAGTATTTTTCGCAAATCTTTCAATGGAATATCTTTTAAAATGATAACTGGATGTGGACACGGTGTTGTTGTAAAAATTTCATGAAAATATGAACTGCTTGCGGATAGTACCATTTTATGTGCTTTTATTAATTGGCCATCGCAGGCAAGTGTTACATCGACAAATCTCTCATCGAGAAACAGTCGTTCGAATACATTCAACATATTTGACTGAAAGTTATTCCATCGCAAGCAGAACGCTTGCGATGCGATATTCCCATCAAATTTCATTGGTGTTGTTTTGTCACTATTATTTGCGGTCACTGACATGATCATACGATTGCGCTGTTTTTCTTCAGCAAAACCCTTTCTCAACCTTGATCTATTCGAATCTGAAAACATCAAAAGGAAAAAAGAAAAAAAAAATATAAATGAACTAGGAGAAATCGGTGCTACTATTTAAAACTAATTATAAAACGTGTGAACATGCGAAATAACAAATGCTACCTTCAATCGGGATTTTTGAATGTGATACAAATGAGTTTTTATAAATTATTTCATTAATTAAACTATATATTTTTTATGCTCAGCAAAAAAAAAATAGGATCGATTCTCAATCGGCCTTTGCCTCTTGCATATTTTGCTTGAGCATTGGCTCACTTAAGATGCGATTTCACAAGCAACGATTAAAACAAATTTATTATTCAAAGTCATGTCGGTCTTTTTGTTTCTCTCTCTATCTCTCTCTCTCATTTGTATTTTCTGTTGTTTCCAATTTTGATTACACATGAATGAACAGAGCAAAAAGAGGAACAGCGTTGAGAACGGGCCACAACTAATGCCATGAGAAAAATAAACATTAATTACAAAAGAAGGATGTTTATCGTTTAAGCAACTGTTTAAATGCTATTTTAATTAATATCGAACTTTTAGATATTTTTCAACATAACTAATTCAAATCAACCGAATGAAGTCAGGTATTAAACAACCCGCATCATTTTAATCTCTGTGTGAATGAATATCATTTGTTCATTGGGTATCCAAAGCCATACCTTTTGCGTTTATTTCATATTCATTGTTTAAACATATGGAATATAAATAGGAAGTTGACCAGTAAATTCTGATTAATCATCGATTAAATCGATGAAACAGACAATAATTAAGATATAATTGTGACAATTTAATTTATACCACCGATTTTTTTATTCGACACACTGTTTAGTTAAAAAAAAATCGGTGAAAAAATGTAAAATATCTTCAAGAACTTTTTTCCCGTTAGCTACTGTCCAACCATTTCACCGATCAGTTGTTAACTGATTGTGCGTTTGAGAACACAATAATATATAGTAGATTAATCTATATAATCCGACATATCAGAAGCTTATTCAATTATTCATTCATTGGACATGGTCATTAAAGCACGCTAATTTGCTCTCCGTCCACTTTTTTCTCTCTAAATATTCTCTGACTTATAGAAATAGCACATTTTATAGTTATATTTTCTTTGGATTTCATTTTTAAATTTAAATTTACTCATTTTTGTTCGATTATCCAAATTGAGAAAATTTATATACCAATTGATGCACTTTTAAATTATCGATCGTATGATTTGTAATACGTTTCCATTCATTCGAAAATGTAGTTTTCAACCAAACAGAAACTTTAAACTTGATTCGACAAGAAAATAACCGAAATATTCACACTGATAATCAGACGAAATAGTCATTGCTACACGGTTCGATTTCCAAAAAAAAAAAAAAAATCGTCACAAAAATGAAACTCATATTTAATTGGCATATTTCTTTCCCTCATATTTGTAGTGGGCACATTCATTCTTTATGGTGTTCACTTATTTATTGAATATTTTAATGAATAATTTAGTAAATATATTTTGTGGATGAACGTCATACCGTTTGCAACGTAGAAAATATTAATGGAGAAAAAAAAATGAAACGGGCGGTAATATTTGCATGGAGATTATTTTATTAATTACACTTTTTTCATATTTTATGGCCGTACGACAATATATTTACTAAGCGGAATAGCAATAATAATATTGCATATGTAAAATGTATACGTATTGCCATATTCTCTTTTGTGACACACGTTTTTTCTTCATGAAATAAAGAAGAGAATTGTTTTTTTCGTCATTTTTTCTGCATTTCTTATATTTAATTACATGCACAATTGGTTCCCTTAAGCGGTCGAACAATATCAATATATTTTGCGATTTCAAGTTGTTGCAGCCCGACGAATGTCCAAAAACAGTAAAAAAGTGAGAAAGATGTAATTTAATAAACAGCATTTTTATCGTTTTGTCGTCTGTTATTTCGACTGAATATCAATTGATGATATGCGACGCTTTTGTAAAAATATACGCACAAACAAAACAAAATTAAATGAAATGAAACGGATGCGCACGATGAACAAAAACTGAGATGAGAAGCACGAAGAAAATGAAATTCAAAACAGATCGAAATAAGGCGACTTAATTATTTTATGCGACCATATACCGTAAGCAGTGTAAAGCAAACACATCAAACGAAAAAAAAAAAACATAAGGACCAAGATGTTAATTGAAGTACCTCAAATAAAATGCGATTGGTTTACAGTGAATTGGTATTATTTTGTTTTGATAATATTGCGTGAGAGAGAGAGAGAGAATGAAAGATAAGATGAGAGGCGCACACTCATCGCAAAATAAAATTAAGACAATATATTCAAAGAAAGATGTTGAAATAAATTCAGATCTACTGCGACCACTTCTCTATGTCAATACAAAAAAGGAAGAAATAACAATTATGTAAATTCATATTTAGCTAATTTATGGTCGATTTTTTTCGAATTAAAAATTTTATTTTTCAGTTTTATTTTTCGAATTCATTCAAAGTTTCGATTTGTGTTTCATTTTCTGGTTTTGGTGAACGTAACCTGTACGTGTATATTGAAAACGATATGCCACCGTGTTTATAATTTGTTGCATTCATTTTCAATAAACACATGCGATGATTTCGGTTTCTTCATCAAATTTCAAAAATTTGACCTTTTTATCTGTTTTCTTGAAGATCTTATCATGTACTACACCATTTGGCCAAACTCAATATGTTTTGCATAGTAGTACATGATGCAATTGAAATCGGTTTTCTTCTTGTATGTTTGGACAAAAAAAAGTTATTGTCTCACCATTGATTGCTTATACCGATTTGAATGCCACGAAATTGATTTTTGCTATAATTTCATTAAGTTTTGTCGCCAGCATCCATTATTTTTAACATTAAGTTCGGCAAAGATCTTGAAATGAGCTCGGATACGTACCGTCACCATTTTTAGTATTGAGCAATAAACAATTTATTTCATTTGAACGTTTTTCGATTTTCTTTTCGAATGACATTCATAACCACGCCAAATATTTATTTTATTCATATAATCGTTTGGGCTACTCACCATCGACTGTTTTATGGGTCTTGTCATGAGATGAAAAAAGTTGTTGAAATTTTTCTTGAAGCAAAAAAATTGCATCAATTAATTATTCTTTTGCATAAATTGTAATTAATTTTCACGAACGAATTACTATTAGATATAATTTGATTTATTTAAAACTGTTCAATCATTAATGTTGCGATATCTGCCAATGACAACAAAAAAAAAACATATATGTGACTCTAATTAACGTATGGATATCGATTGAATAAGTGTTAAATTTGATTATTTTAAAAATTAATACCTTCATTAAGAATATGCCCTTCATTTTGAACATTACTGTTGATTGGATGGAAATTAAAATTTCAATTTGTGTGCCTTTTTTTATGTACAGCAATTGAATAATACACTTGTTCAGTAAATCATCTGATTGATGGCCATGAAATATACACACAACTTTGAACTGAACCGGAAAAGTATGTAGAAAAAAAAAGATACCATGCGAATGTATTTTCAATAAATATATGTGTGTGAAAATGAAAACATTCTCAATATCTGCATATTCGGTATCACCGAAATAAATTGAAATCAACGAAAATCGCTGAAACTACATATTATGGAAAAAGTAAAAAGAGCACACCATTTAAATTGCTTCGCGCATTGAATGCGCCGGGGAAATTTTGTGATTTTGTTTGCAATCAAATGCATGATGAACAAATATGAAATTGTTGATGGAGCCAATTGGCGTTTTAGCATGTTTGCACATCAATATAAATGACCGAGTATATATATATGATCGTGGTATCGTTGTATCCAGTTGTGCGATATGTTGTGAAAAATAAACAGTGTGGCACTGAGTACCTACCGCGAACAACAAAAACAATAACAGAAACACAGCATAACGGCGACGACGGCAATGCAATACGGATGCAAAAAAACTAGCCAAAAATCGGCATGGTGGTAGCAAATGTGTAATTGCACATTTTATTGTTCGACTAATGGGCTCAACAGTCCATTTACAATTTTAAACATACAGCACACAAATTTGCCGCAAAATATCTATTTTGAGTGGAAAACACGCATTTCTGACCGTGAAAATATGGATAATGGATGAATATGAAGTGGACATTTGAATTATAAAATCACAGATCGCAAATAAAATGGTGTAACAATTTCATCAAGAAAATCATACCAACTAAGTAGGTACAACGTATTATTGGATGTTTATGATGTGTGTGTGTGTTTGTTTTTTTAATTTCGTTCAGCTTCGCTAGATTTCTTGAGAAATGTTTAATGCATTTATGATACATTTAAAATAGATTACATGATCATTGGCTGGATAAATGGCGTAAATTGGTGGTGATTTTCCGCAACATAAACGCATTAGTTGTTGCTGTGGTGGTGGAAAAGCGAATGACAGGTAACGAGAGTGGGCTTGTCGATTGAATGCGTTTGATGCACTTTTGATTGCTGCAACAAGTATAAATAGTGAAAATATGTGCGGTCATTTACGCTGCGTATGTTATTATTATTTCAATTTTGTGTTTGCCGGTAGATAATTGAAAAATTCACATCAGATTCGTGACACAGATAAAAAAAAAGCCACCGAATGCCACAAAACCCACAACATCAAACCCAACTTACAATAACAAACTGTCCGTGCGTTACACATGAGTTACAGCAAAATAAATGGAGATATAACGAAAACATAATAATATATAAATGTATACACATTCATCAAGTGCAAAGTATGTGCCAACTGGTGCAAAGGTGATAAAAATACGAAATTTAATGCGTACAACTGCCTATGCACATAATCAACACTAGCAATTACGGTGCCATGCAATACAGCACCCAACAATAGCAACAACAATAAATAAATGACTGAATGCATCCGATTGGCGAATGCATTGAGAGGAGCAATAGTAAATGCAGTGATTCAGACATACATATATTGTATGCAATACAAATT